CCCTCACGCCACCACCTGACTTGGCGCCCGCCCGTGGCCAAATCTTTAACGCCGAGGCGCGGTGGGTTCCCGACATCGGAGAGGGTTCGGACAAAGACCATCGTGCTCGGCATCGAAAATACTTTCAGAAAAACCACCGATCAGCGGAATTCGAGCTGTGCACCTAGAATTTGGCCCAGGCTACTATATCTCAGAAGTGACTTTCAAGCACTTACGACGTTATACGGGGACCTGCTGAACTGCGTGTCTGTACGGAGCTGCCTGGAACTACGGGTTTATACGGAGACTCCACAAACTCCGTGCTTGTAGGTTTTAAGTGTCGATTTAATAAAACAGTACACAAATAATGTAATAATAATTGATTAAAATATTTAAATTTCTGTCATGAGGAAGGGTGGGGGTGATGGGTGATATAGGAAGACTTTCGAGAGATCGTCTCCGATTCGCTGCACAGGCTAGCCTCGCACAAGGCGCACTCAACGCATCGTATGATAAACTCAGCGGTACATAACCGTTCTCTCGTTAGTTTTTTCGGTTGTTTCCGTCTACTACTTTTGCATTTTTGGTACATTTGCGGCACCACAAACATTGTTCACAAACAATGTTTATGAACAATATTTAACCCTGCGAACTGAAAAGTGTTTACCTTTGAAAGGAGGGTGTTGCTAAGTGCGGTGAGCTCCACCCGTCAGTTGTCACGCATAGAAAGACAGGAACTCTTCTTCACGCAAAAGATCAGTCTCTGACACACTATAATGTTAGTGGAAAGTGAGAAAACATTCCTGTAGCGTGTCTTTATGACTGTCAAGAGTAAATCGCCAACACAATTGAACAAGTCTTCTCCACCACATTGTCAAAACTGTTTTGTTTTGATCCTGTCGTTGGCTGGTTGCACAACGGCTCTCTATCGGCACTCCACAGCGCAACTGCGAATATCGAGTAAGACGAAGATGATGAAAGCAAGGAGAACAATTTCTACTCATAGGTTCAATATGTCGTTGTCTGTCCTTCCTATTTCACTTACCGAGAATGTAAGTCAATTCCACTTTTGCAGCTTGCATTTATCTGCATTGTCTTGGTCGCTGACCCTGCTTTCTAATGCTGCATTGTTATGGTCTTCATAACCTCGCTCTGTCTGCTTCAACTTCAACTATTTCATCTCGTACATCGCCTAATCTACTGTGGCACTAGTAACATCGTCCTCTATTCTTGTTTTGTTGGTTTTGTCATTGTACTTGCACTCTATTAAACTATATAGTGTTTTTTTAGCATATTCAATGCACTTGTCACAGTCTTCAGTGTTTATTTAGTTTGTTTTTTTAACTTAAGCTTTAACACTGTGTGTAATGTGTTCCTTTAAAAATAAAAGTTTGAAACGCGAAGCTTATTTAATTTGTGCACTATTTTCACTTTCTTTGATGCTACAAATATAGCTACTGTGTACTAATATTTTGTTGCTTGCAGGTAGTGTTCTCAATCGGGCGGGTTAGCTCCTCTCCGGCTTGCCCGACTGCGCTGCCGTCTTCACCCGACCCGACCCGACCCGACGAGGCTGCGTCGGGTATGTCGGGCGAGCTCTAGCCCGGCCGAAACACCTTCCGAATCACCTGCACTCGGCGCGCTTCCGCACGCTGTTCGGACGTAGACCCTTCCTCTGCCGGACCAGCAGGGCGAGAGGTGAGGTTGCGGGGACAGGTGACGCTGCTGCGGCCGAGCGCCGGGAGTCGTGTCGGTCTGACTGCATCGGCGGACTGAGAGTGTGACGTGAGCGACAGAGACAACTGTCGGCTGCATCATGCTGTCTCACTCTTACGCTGGGAGCGTCGGGCAAGCGCTCCAACTCTTACCCGCCCGATTGAGAACACTACTTGGAGGTACGATGGTGCAGCGCTGTTCAGGTTTGGATGAAACCAGAAAGGCGACATTTTCCTTTACCCCAAACCACCACCGGGACCATTATTCATCATCAGTTTGGCAGAGGATTCTTCAGAACCAGACTGTGAAGTTCACGTCTGTATTTTACAAGAACAACCTTCTGTTTAATTGAGTTCTTAGTAAGTCATGTTATATTTCTACCTGTGCAGGATTGTTCTGTAGCAAAGCTAGTAGCTATGTTTTCTTGTTGGTTTGGCTGTATTCTGATGACTATCTGATGCGTTCTGCTCAGCTAGTTTGCCATTGTACACATTTGCCGTATTAGCTGTCACCAAATCAAGTTTCTGCTTGAGTAAAAAATATATTCAAGTTCAGAGGTGAGAGGTGATTTTGTTGGCTAGAGGGAATAAAATTCATCTCTGATTACATTTCAGACATTAAATGACAAGTTTGCTGTCACATTTAAGTTTGACTTAAGTCTCACATTGATAAACGGCTACTAAACTAATATTACTCTTAATCCTTTTTTGTTTTCAGGTGCAGCGCTGTTCTGGTTTGGATGAAATCAGAAGGCGATATCTTCCTTCACCCCAAATCACCACCGTGGCCATCATTCATCATCAGTTTGGCATAGGATTCTTCAGAACCAGACTGTGGAGTTCACATCTGTATTATACAAGAAGCACACCTTCTGTTTAAATGAGTTCTTAGTAAGTCATGTTATATTTTTACCTGTGAAGGATTCTTGTGTAGCAATGCTTGTAGCTTGCTCCTCTGGCAAATAATGCTGTTTTATTTTTCAATAACGTATTGTGTGAAACTGCTAGTGGTGCCATGTTTGGCTTACTTTCGTAGGCCAGTCTTTTTATTTTCATTCTTTGAAATTGATATTGGGGCTGATGCAGAGACCTTTGTTCTTTTAGAACAAATCATCTGGTGCTTGTGTTTGTTTTGAATGCAAAGCTGATTTGATTCTTTCACCACTTTATCTTTCCTGTATGCTGCAGAAGTAGCTACTTCTCCATGAACGTACAATTTTAATCAGTTCACCCCTATTTACATTTAAGACATTGAAAGACAAGTTTGCTGTCACATTTTAGTTTGACTTGAGTCTCACATCGTTAAAGGTCTACTAAACTAATAGTACTCTAAATCTTTTGTTGTTTTCAGGTAGAGTGCTGTTCAGGTTGGGATGAAACCGGAAGGCGTCATCTTCCTTCACCCCAAACCACCACCATGATCATCATTCATCATCAGTTTGGCAGAGGATTCTTCAGAACCAGACTGTGGAGTTCACGTTCCTATTTTACAAGAAGCTCAGCATCTGCTTATCTGATGAGTTGTTAGTGTGTCATGCCATATTTCCACCTGTAAAGGATTGTTCTGTAGCAAAGGTGGTAGCTTGCCCCTTTGGCTAAAAATGTGTTCATCTCTTGTGTAAGATAGTTTTGTAAACGATGTTTTCTTGTTGGTTTGGCAGTATTCTGATGACTATCTGATGCATTCTTCTCAGCTAGACCAATTGTTACTGTATTAGAGAAGTCTTGTTCAGTAAATTTTATGGTGCATGACACCAATTTTAATATCTTCCATCATGTACTAATGAAGGATTGAATGAATCCAATATACTCTTATCCGTTTTGTAATTGCAGCACGACAGTAATTTTCTTTGATTCAGAATCTATGTTTAAACAGTACTTATGGGAATAGTTGCCATTGTACATTTGCAGTCTCCAAAAGAAGTTTTTTCTTGTGTAAAAAAATATATTCAAGTAGAGGTGAGAAGAGATTGGTGTTGGCTAGAGGGAATAAAATTCATCTCTGATTACATTTAAGACATTATATGACAAGTTTGCCGTTACATTTTAGTTTGACCTAAGTCTTTTATTGTTAAACTTGCTTTTACTCAATTTGGAATCATCATGTCCTGTAGGGGTGCTTCAAGACTATTTGAATGAGTGTTGTGCAGTTTGTGAATTAATATTTTGTTCACATAATTGTAATTATGTGGTAACAAACAGTAGTTGACTAGTGGTTACTAAATTGGTGTTAAACAGGAAGAAGTTGTAGTTTTATAAAAAAAAATCTGTATTTTTATGTCTACTTTATAAGTTGTATCTAGAGAATGCCACCGGAAAAAAACCAAGGAAAAAAACCAGGAAAAAAACCGGTTTTTTTCGTTTTTTTCCGAGGCCCTTGGAAAATAACGAAAAAACGGGAAAAAACGTTTTTCGAAGTTGTGAGGCCTAATATCACGAAAAAGCATGTTTTACGTGATACTGCCCACCAATACCTTCCGGCCCTACACCCGCTACCACGACTGACGGCGCCTCTGAGGGGTAGGGTATTTTTGGAAAATTGTGAAATGACAGGTAATCAGCGGCAGTCGATCCGAATCGAAAGCGAAAGTTGTCTACTCGTCTGCTCTGCCCTCAAGGAATATACTAAAATGCAGTTTGATGTCTCAATTCCACTATTAGTGGGTAATTATGAAATATGGGGGGAGGGGGGGGGGGTAAAATATTGTTTCCGCAGGAGTCCTTATTTATCTTTGTTATTATGCTATGTAGTATACCTAACTTAAATGGGCAATCCCTCGGGAGCTAAGATATTTAATTGGACAATCTGAGCAAATCAGCTGTTAGCCGCTGATTGTGTTATGAAATCTACTTATCACTGTAGTAATACTAAGTGCTTTTTGATCTCTATTTTCGGAAAACATGAAAGAACTTTTTAAGATGATGCTCTTATTTTATGCAGACAGTTTAGGCGGCAGGCAGCACACCTCATGCAAGCAAACAAGCTTATCGAGGCTGTGCAAAGGGATGAATTACCATTAAAACACCTACGTTTTGGATAAAAATGCTCTTTTAACAATCCATATGCTTTATTTAGGTGTAATATACAAAAAATCGTTTTTTCCAAATTTTTGGTTTTTTTACGGTTTTTTCCTGGTAAAAAACGTTTTTTTCCTTCGATTTTTAAAAAACCGGTTTTTTTCCTTCCCTAGTTGTATCACAAAAAAAAGTGTGGATACATCAAGATGGGGCTCAGGAAGTTTACGTGGATTCTTGGAGATCAGCTGGAGATGGCACGGCAATAACTATGGGTTTGGTCAACTTAATGTTTGGGTTTCTGTTTTGTACCGGCCACTGTCAAATAATTATCATGTGAGAAACTATATGGCTCCAGGAATGGACTTGAATGATTTTCTAGTTTGCCGAGTTTGGACAAAGTGATTTAATTTGCGTCAATCTCAGGTATGATCCACTAGTACTCCTAGTATATCTTGTGATGTGGAAAAATAAACATTTTGTTTTACCTAGATCAATTGACCACTCCAATAGTTATTTTAACAATTTCCCTTTATCTAGCTGATCTTGAATAACTATCAATGCTTAGCTGCACATTTTGTAGAACTTTTCGGCATAAAACCATTTTGTAATTTTGTAAAAAAGATACTTGAGGGGAAGGATGTAAGTCTTTTCTGCAGCCAACGCCATGTGGCAGGTGTTGAGCCACATCTTTAATTACAATTACGTTACAGTGGTTGAAGGCTTTACTTATTTCAGAAGGATCTTCAGTCATGCTGAGTTTAAATTAGGTTCGCCCTTATTTGATTGCAAGATATTAGTGTGGTGAAGTGTGTAGTTGTATGCTGATTAAAACAATAAGAACAAGAAGTAACCTTTGTTCTTTCCTTTCAACTTCCCTACCATAAACACTGGCCATAAAACGCTGTATAAGTAAAAACTGAAGCATTTCAATTGTATTTTGATTCCTACATCCTCTGACACTTGGAACAGTGCGGCAAGCCATTCAGGCATGTCTGGAAGTTTTGCAGGGGTGAAGGAGGCAACCATATGAGAGAAAAATTTGTTTATTAACAATTAGAGAGACCAAAAACGAACAACATTGGTAGAAGATAAACTTAAGAAAAACATTGAAAATAAACTTAAGTCATGCGTACGAAATAAGTATAAATTGTGAATAAAATAATATACCAGGTGGCTGAGTCACGCCGCGCACTTTTGTAGTTGTACTGTACCGCATGCACGGGTGCGGGTGGGCTTGCCTACTTGCAGATGGCCATGAGGAGCCGTGGGCGGTGGGGCGCACCAACGCCCTGCCGTTTCAGATCTGTACTGAACCTGGGCCTTCCCCCGTGCCTGTGTGCGGCCGCCGGCTGGGCACCG